AGATTGACATCTCAAAGTATAGGGGGGTCGAAGAGGACTCCCGCTTGAGATGGTTCGTCGAATTGGATGACGCCATAAGGGCGCGTCGCATCGACGACGGGGATGTGCAAGTTGCATTTGCCCAGTCAAATCTGGCAGGACGTGCCAAGACTTGGGCACTGGGGCTCAAGTTGCACGACCCATATGCGTTTGGGTCGTTGGAAGTCTTCAAGTCGCGGCTCAGACAAACGTTTGAACTGCCTAGAGCTGAGTTCAGGGCTCGAACCGAGCTCTTGAAGCTCAAACAGGGTAAGCGTGATGTGCACGCTTACGCCCAACATATACGACATCTTACGAGTTGTATAAGTTCCAATCCGGTGGATGAACACACGTTGGTTTCGGTGTTCATGCAGGGTCTTGCGGATGGTCCCTTCAAGACTCACCTATTCCGACTTGAACTGGATTCACTAGAACAAGCCATTTCCATTGCGGAACAGGAAGACTTCAGTCTGAGACAGGCTCGCGCCAGCTCGACATCATATCGTCCACCGAGACGATATGACAACGGAGGTCCAGAGCCGATGGAACTCTGTTATGTAGAGAGCGAGAAGGCTCGCTCTACAGACTACAAGAAGTTGCAGAGATGCAACAGATGTCAAAAGACAGGACACTACGCTTACGAGTGTAGTGCCCGTCGTCCAGTGTCTCGCAACACTGGGCGTAGTGACCGTTCACCCATGAGAAAGGGGCAGGGATGAGGGTCCGCAGTTGGTGCAAAGACGCAACAACGGGATGGACCGTCAACAAACGGACAGGATCAGTAGGTGCGGAGCACCCTACTGGTCCAGCAACGTCAAGAGAATTTGTAGGCCTCTTGATGAAGGTTGCTCCCAACACACAAACGTTGTGAGTTGCTGCTATAGGTAATGAGATCTTACTCATTAACTTGAAACTCGAAGTGAAAAATCAGTTGTCCCTTCGAGCTCTAGTCGATTGTAAGGCGTCCAACGATTTTGTGCGACGCCAATCGCTAGAAGATGGTCACTTTAAGTTCAGTGAACGTGACACACCTCCTACGAGGATGACGGTACGTCTTGCGACAGGCGCATCCGTAACCGTCATGAAGCGTATAGTGAAGATTCACTATACGCTAGAAGATACCCAATATGACGATGACTTTATCGTGTTGGATTTGGATGACAAATTTGATGTCATCCTTGGAATACCGTGGCTCAGAAGGTACGAACCACGGGTAAACTGGCAACATCGGACAGTAACGATGCCTGCCGCTTGTTCATCAGATGGCCATCTGATGAACGTTCTGGAGCGTCTACAAGCGTGTGGATGTACTGCGAGTGAGTGCGATGACCTCACTTGTGGTACGGTCGTTAGTACGACTGTACGAAACCTAAGTGTAACAACGGTTGCACTTCGGATCAAAGTTCCGGCGGCTGTGAGGAAACACAGGCTGCGCCGAAGGTCCACCACTCGAATAAGTCGGGTGGACTGGGACAAAGATTTATCCCTAGCGGGGAACATCTAGAAGAGAAACAATCGATCGCTCAGGTTAAGCGAAACGATAATCCTAGATCGACTGGAGAGTCTTTCGTAGAGGATCTCGCTGTGGTTGCGCAACCCCAGCTAGAGGAAGTAAAGGGAATAAGTCCCAAGATTACAAATACGGCGGAAATAAGTTCCCCGAAACCCGCGGGAATAAGTCCCCGGGGAGACGAAGGAATAAGTCCTTCGAAGCCTGAGGGAATAAGTCCCCAGGAAATGACAGAGACATTGAATGTCATAGTCAATAACGGATCAAGCGTAGGCGCTTATACACTTGATCTGATTGCGCCTCCGAAGTTGACTTCGGAGGCCACTCAGTTGCCAACGCTCAAACATAAAAGGTTCTTGCGTGATCTGCGTAGTGGCAAAGTCAAGCAGATCTGCGTACTCGTCGCTGACGACGAGTGTGTAACCGACATAAGGTCAGCAATAGTGTTCACTGAGAACGAGAGAGTTCTCAGTAGTTCATCTATGGACGAGAGTGCCCTGGATGAAAAGACACGAATTGAGCGATATGACTCCCAATCGTGGGAATCGCTCAAGACAAATCCTCTCTATGAAGATTTGGTTGAATTCAAGGATGTATTTCCTGAAACTGTTCCGTGCGAATTACCGAAGGATAAAGTTATTCGACACGAGGTTGAGCTTAAACCAGGCTCGAAGTACTGTGTCATGAAGCAGTGGCCACTGCCTCGTGAACAAGTACTTGCGATCGACAAGTTCTTTGCCGATCGTTTAGCTGCGGGCCATGTGAGGGAATCAACTTCCCCACATATCTCTCCGACCTTCTGTGTGCGAAAAGCAACAGGAGGGTGGCGGATAGTGCATGCATTTAACAAATTGAACGCTGCAACGGTACCGGCTCAGACGCCGATACCGAGGAAGGACGTAATCATTGATGGTATGTCAAAGAGTACCATCTTTTCGTCCATGGATTTGATGGATGGCTTCTATCAAATCCTTATGCGAGAACAGGATATACCCTATACCGCAGAAGCACGCCTAGCGGCATGCTCTGGGAATGGCTAGTAATGCCACAAGGGCTCAGTAATGCCCCTGCCACGTTCAACAGATGTGTATCACATCTGTTGAGACCAGTACGAGAATTCGCGCCGAGTTATTTCGATGACGTATTCATCCATAGTCGAGCTATGGATGGAAAGTCGGACGTTGAGGTTCACAGGTACCACGTCCGACAAGTTCTTACAATCATGCGAAGGCATTAATTGCATGCTAACCTCAACAAGTGTATATTTGCAGCAAGCGAAATACCACTTCTTGGGTGCATCGTTGGTAAGAACGGTGTACGTACTGATCCCGAATAGATCAAGGCGATCGCCGACTGGCCTGTGCCGGTTGATGTCAAAGGTCTTCGAAAATTCCTTGGGCTAGCGGCGTATTTGCATAAGTATTCACGCAATTACGCCGAGATGACTGTGCACCTCTCTCGTTTGTTGAAAAAAGAACGAGAGGTGGTTATGGAACGCTGAATGTCAACGCTCCTTTGAGGGTATCAAGCAGAGCTTGATACAATCCCCAGTCCTAGCAATTGCCGATCAGAACAGGCCATTTCATGTGGTCTGTGATGCCAGCGATTTCGCAATCGGCTGTGCATTAATGCAGTACGATCTTGAAGGCGTTGAACGCGTCGTCTGCTATCAGTCGCGTCAGCTACAACCAGCTGAGCGGAACTATCCAGTGCATGACAAGGAACTCCTTGCCATGAAGTATGCACTCGCGAAGTTCAGAGTCTATCTATTAGGAGATAGACCCTTCATTGTTTACACTGACCATGCGTCATTACGCACGGCAGTGAACAGCCCGCACCTTTCACAACGAATGGCGCGGTGGTTGTCATTCTTTGCGGAATACAACTTTACGGTCGAGTACAAACCAGGACGACTTAATGTCGTCGCTGATGCACTCTCACGTCGTCCCGACTTTGAAACAGTCGCGAAACCCAACAGTGAGACAGTCACTGTTGCGGTTATGACGTCCTCAGTCCCATCTACAACGTTGTATGATGATGTGAGGCGGGCATACGCCCAAGATGGTTAGATTGTGAAGTTGTTGACACATCTCTCCCAACCATCTCGAGAATCGTTGAAACGATTGTCGTCTGCGTATCGATCTGCATCATATCGATACACTACTCGCAACGGGTTACTGTATTATACAGCCGTTTCTGGTGACACACCACGTGTTGTCATTCCAGAAGATACTGATCTGCGTTTGCGGATCATGTTCGAGTATCACGATGCTCCTATAGGAGGACATCGTGGCCGAGAGAAAACATATCTCACGGTAAGTCGAGACTTTTACTGGCCCCGCCAGTATCAGTTTGTGCGAATGTATGTTCGCGCATGCGAAGTCTGCCAACGAGTGAAGTCAAGTCCTTCACTGCGTGCACCTTTACAGCCTCTACCGGTTCCGGCTGAGTGCTGGGAATCCATCTCAATGGATTTCGTCTTCGGGTTACCCAAAGACGCACGCGGGAATACGGGTATTCTCGTATTTGTTGACAGATTCAGCAAAATGGTACACCTTGTGGCTGTACCAGAGACAATCACGGCAAGTGGCTGTGCTTGTGTCTTTATTGACAGCATCTTCCGACTTCATGGGTTGCCCCGTGAACTCGTATCAGACAGAGATCCACGATACACTGCTGATTTCTGGCGTTCCGTGTTCAAATCACTCGGAACGCGCTTGAAGATGTCTACATCTGATCATCCAGAGTCAGATGGTCAGACGGAACGTGCCAATCGTGTCCTTGAAGAGATACTTCGAGGATACGTACACTCCTTTAAGAGTTGGAGTGAGTTTTTGCCAATGGTAGAGTTTGCCATCAACAACTCGGTGCATGCGTCCACGACACATACACCGTTTTACGTGAATGGCTTGCGCCATCCGCGTGTACCCACCTTACTAGAGTGTAACTCTGGTTTAAGGGGGGAGGGACTCGCGCGAGCAAAAACCGATTTGGTTCACGCTCATCACGCTCTGACGAAGAAGTCATTGCGTTTGATGCCGATATCGATAACATCAATATCGAAGAAGATGATGCCAGTGAGAGTGCGGAAGCCCTCACTGAAGAAGATGATCCCAGTGAGAGTGCGGAAGACCTCACTGAAGAAAAGGTTGATGTTGCTGCAGTGCGCTCACAGCACACTGAAGCCAACGAGCCATCAGATGAGTTCATACTGGCTCGTGAAACGGTAGTCCGTTTTGTGCAAGACTCCATCGCCGAAGCGGTGGATAAGCAAAAGCAAAACGCTGACAAGAATGGAAGGGCAAACACTCTTTTATTTAATAAAGGTGACTTAGTCCTATTGTCTACGGTTAATCTACCAAAGCATGTAGTGACTAACTTGGGTAGCAGTAAACTACTACCCAAGTAAATCGGCTCATTTCGTGTATTGCACCGCCTAGGCAATACATACACGATCGAGTTACCACGTAAGATGCGAACGCATCCCACGTTTTACGTTGGTCGGCTTAAGCCGTACCATCAGTATCATCTTCATCTTCCTATGAAGAACGCCCTTGCGCTCAAGCATCTCGCAGAGAGCCTTGTGCTCCCGATGGTGGGCATCGACAAGGGTCTGAAGAGCAGTTACATCAGCCCGAGACCGATCAACAATCCCACGAGCTACCCTTAGCTCGTCACGAAGAGATGTCAGAGCTCTCTCGTTCTAAAGCTGAGCAAAGGCAAACTCAGCTCGATGCTTCGAGACAGCGTCCGCCAGTTGGAGACGCCTATTCCGCTCATGTTCGAGATCGTCGCGTAACCCTTGCGTTACGCGATCAAAGAAGCTCTCAGGAACACACCGATCCACATGATCGTGTGGAGAGCGTCTTTCCTCCTCCTCCACCTCCATTAGAGGACTCTCGCGGTGGCCAGCGCTATCTGGTTGAGCAGCTGTTGAACCACCGCGACGTGAACGGACGTCGGACGAGTTATCTCGTCCGGTGGCGCGGCTATCCCCCGTCCTGGGATTCTTGGGAGCCCCGCTCCCAACTGATGATCGACGTACTGGGTCTGGTTGAGCAGTACGACGCGGCACATCCTGTGCCGCAGAAGGACCGCCGGAGAAAGTCTTCCCGGCACGGTCGTAAAGGGATTTCAGGTTGTCAATCCCTTCGTACATCTCAGTAGAGAGACGTACGCGCCACCACGGGCTGGTAAGGAGGTAAGCCTCCTTAGGTGCTCGTGCAGAGTTGTTCACACAACATGGGCACGAGTCTCCCCAAGAGAGGCAGGGTAATCCTTTCTCTCTAGACAGACGATGCAGCTTGTAGCGTGCACCTGTCGGGGTTCGCTTTTCAAACTTATCACGAGCTTTGATAAGTTTGTCGTTCCAAGCGTCACGACCTACATCCTCGAGGTTATGGATGTAGGCGTTCTACGCCTGAAGTAGTGAGGGACCATCACGTTTGTGATTCCCACTGTACCATCGATGTCTAAAGAAAGCATCGATGATGAATTCATGTTCAGCGCGATAGTTTTTTTCGCGCTGGGGTCAAGGTGATGGATCCTTGACGAATCGAACAATCGTGTTCGATAACGATCACTCGTCGTCGCCGACAAGTGATCCATGACTGATTTAGGAGGCATCCATGCCTTCTTATCAGGAGCGAGACGCAACACATTGCGGTCCCGCTCTTCCTGCGACGTGCCGACAGAAGTACTGGCACCTCGCTGTGAAGTGGTGTCCATAGGAGAACCGACACCACTATTAGCGCCCGAGTCTCGCGACCTCGAGCGCCTTCGCTTCGGCGATGGTTCATCTGATTCATCAGATGAACCAAAGATGCTGCGACGCAAAGCATCGTCCATGCCACGCTTGGCAGGCGGCTTAGATTCGATCGCCGTCGATACGGATCCGTCTTCCGTATCAGGAGAGTACGAGACACCGAGCTCGTACTCTGTGAAGACACGAGTGTCTTCATGACCAGCGCCTGCATCACCAGATGACACAGGCTGAGTCGCTTCAGCAACCGATGGGACATCAGTTGCTGTTGTTTCTGCTTCAGCGTCCGCACAGAGACGTGCGGACGCGCTCTCGGCGGCCTTGCTCGCGCATCGCATGGGCTTGTTTACCATGCGATGAGATGTTGGAAAGTGGACGCGGACCAACAAGTGCAAACCCTGTCCCAAATGATTTGGGACGAGTATCCATTTAGTCAATCAGTCACTAAAGTGACTGATGGATGAGGGGGGGTGATGCAACGGGGTGAATCGTTACATAACAATTTATAAGAAATTGTTAATAGAATATAACTATAAGAGTTATATTCTCAGAATATTGTCATAAGGACAAATATTCTGTAGCACTTACGAGTAGTTCCTAATTGGTTGATATAGGCCATTATATCAACCAACGAAGACGCGCCACGACAGACGCACGCAATGAGTGGTGAGCAGATAACTGATTTACACATTTGTATTTAGACATAGTTAGATGAGGATAAACAGTGATTTATTGCAGACATTAACTATGATCAATACAGTTCTACGTTTTACTTTAACCAAGTACTCGCTTCTTCTTACCGTCTTCCTCTGCACGTACCAGCGTACGTGAAGTTCCGAGGCACCCCCTTATTCTGTCATCCGAATAAGTAGCTTGTACTGTCACCAGTACAAGCTTCAGGGTGCCCCGTTACAGTTCCGGGGAGAACCGAAACGTCATGCTCGGAAAATTGCGACTTCACGTTCAAAGGCTTTGAGCGGATAGTTCCAAAATCTGGCATCCATCCGCCTCTCTCACTACCATCCGTCGCCACGCTCTAAAGTGCTTTCGTTATATGGACGTAGATCGATAGAATTTGACTGGGATAACCGCCGAATATGCCGTAAAGAAGTTACGGTCGCACCGTAAGGCCCCAGCTTCAATTTTGTTGGATGTGAACGTTATAGCTGCTGCAAATTAGACTTTTTTAAATGTGAGGAAAAGAGAAAATAAAACCAAAGAAAGTCCATGCAGGGATTTAGGGTGGCCGAATGTGCCTCGCCGCAAGCCAATGTTGTATCTTTTTTCGAGCTTTAGGTCCTATGACTTCGCGGGAAATTTGGCAAATATGAATTCAAAAATTTTAGGAGTGAAGCAAGTAGCATAATTCAGCCATCCATGGTCTTAGATTTGTGGTGCAAGAAGTATGGGGTGACGAGTAGCTGAGTGACGGAGATCGAAAAATGAAACAGGCTAAATACAGGCGTTGCGCAATGTAAGTCGTGGTTTACTACAGAGACCTCGCTGCAAGAGTTCCGGCTTATCACATCTAAATTATCGGCTCTTCGCGGTACACTATAGATACATTGCTCCATTATGCATCGCTCGACACATCGACATGGCTGCGTTGTGCGACCGGGGTGGCTTACAAAGCTAATTTTCTCGCGTGTCTGACGGACCATTGTAGCCTGCCTGGTGATGTGGTTCGATGGCGGGTGGTTTAACAGGGTATGACCACCTTTTCGCTCTGTGGTACAGCCAATCCTTTAGTTCACACTCAGCGAGGTGTCAAGAAATTTTGTGGGACTCTGCTGTTTAATTTTTTATAGCTTCGGTTCGCAACCCACCCTGAAGACCTTTTACGGAAGGTCAGTCCAGCCGTTCATTGGCACCAAACCTGTCGCCTGAAGCAAGGTAGCTTCATCGTCCGTGTAGAAAGTACTACGAACAGGGACGCTCTCCCTGTCCGATCGATGGCGAATTGAGACTGGACTGCGGCACTTCACACTCCTCAGGCGAAAGTTCGTTAGCTTGTTCATCCGGCTCCGACTCGGCTCGTTCAGCTTTATGGGAACGGGGACAGATGGATGAAACGTCGTCGTAGTTATAGCGCATTTGAACGGCGTGCACACTTTTCTTAGGTGCTGTGAATAGAGATACAGCTATTGCGCGACTCAAGGTAGCCTCTCTACCCATTCGAGACACGATGTCTCTGCTCGACTGGCAAGACATCCGACGGATTCCTGAAGCCACGGCTACTATAATGCATACATTGTTTCGGATCAAAGCTAACAAGCGCACTCTCTGGAACATTAACCGCGGCGATCGATATTTTCCACATCCTACGAGTGACACCTCCATCTTGACTTCCCTTCAACACGTCTTCTGGGATTGTCCCATAGCAGCCACTGCGTGGCAGGACCATCGGGCGCGATGGAGAGCGCTAAGGGACAATTTGGATGACGGCCTCCAGCTCACAGCCTTTAGCTTTGATGTTACGGACACGCCAAAAAAGGCGTGGACTAGCTTCCGGAATGCCTTGGGTGAGATCGAAAACGCGCTCAAGTATCAAGATGAAGTCCATGATGTCGCCCGACTACTTTGACGGCTAATGGCTTCTTTTACGACAAACGCTATATGAGCCACCGGCTATGACTTGAGGAGGGCGCTACCTTAGCGACTTTACGGGCGATCATTAACCGAATGGTTCTAAAATGGGATCATGCAGCTTCGGGCTTCGGCTCAGGAATTTGACGATCGTGCGTCTCCGCATATCCGTGTTCTATTAGCGCTTGCCACGATGCTTGTATAAGTGTGCATTAACGATGCCAATGAGTGTCCGCGCCCTCTGACGGTTCTTGGCGTCAATTTACTCTTCTTCGACCGAGAACCAAGGGAATATCCCGGTCCAGGTGATATTGTTCCGGTTATTGTTCGACTTGATACCGACACTCATGCGGCTGAGCTACATTGGACTACCATCATGTCGTATGGTAGCATTACCACAACGATTAATACCGCTGAATGTTGGGTCCTCGTCCATGGCCTACAATCGAGGGCTACACTCCGCTCCATGTCATCAGGGACAGTGCCTGTAACGGGGCACCCTGAAGCTTGTACTGGTGACAGTACAAGCTACTTATTCTGATGACAGAATAAGGCGGTGCCTCGTAACTTCACGTACACTCGTACGTGCAGAGGAAGACGGTAAGAAGAAGCGAGTACTTGGTTAAAGTAAAAAGTAGAACTGTATTTAGTATAGTTAATGTCTGCAATAAATCACTATTTATCTTCATCTAACTATGTCTAAATACAAATGTGTAAATCATTTATCTGCTCACCACTCATTGCGTGCGTCTGTCGTGGCGCGTCTTCGTTGGTTGATATAATGGCCTATATCAACCAATTAGGAACTACTCGTAAGTGCTACAGAATATTTGTCCTTATGACAATATTCTGAGAATATAACTCTTATAGTTATATTCTATTAACAATTTCTTATAAATTGTTATGTATCGATTCACCCCGTTGCATCACCCCCCCCTCATCCATCAGTCACTTTAGTGACTGATTGACTAAACGGATACTCGTCCCAAATCATTTGGGACAGGGTTTGCACTTGTTGGTCCGCGTCCACTTTCCAACATCTCATCGCATGGTTAGCAAGCCCATGCGATGCGCGAGCAAGGCCGCCGAGAGCGCGTCCGCACGTCTCTGTGCGGACGCTGAAGCAGAAACAACAGCAACTGATGTCCCATCGGTTGCTGAAGCGACTCAGCCTGTGTCATCTGGTGATGCAGGCGCTGGTCATGAAGACACTCGTGTCTTCACAGAGTACGAGCTCGGTGTCTCGTACTCTCCTGATACGGAAGACGGATCCGTATCGACGGCGATCGAATCTAAGCCGCCTGCCAAGCGTGGCATGGACGATGCTTTGCGTCGCAGCATCTTTGGTTCATCTGATGAATCAGATGAACCATCGCCGAAGCGAAGGCGCTCGAGGTCGCGAGACTCGGGCGCTAATAGTGGTGTCGGTTCTCCTATGGACACCACTTCACAGCGAGGTGCCAGTACTTCTGTCGGCACGTCGCAGGAAGAGCGGGACCGCAATGTGTTGCGTCTCGCTCCTGATAAGAAGGCATGGATGCCTCCTAAATCAGTCATGGATCACTTGTCGGCGACGACGAGTGATCGTTATCGAACACGATTGTTCGATTCGTCAAGGATCCATCACCTTGACCCCAGCGCGAAAAAACTATCGCGCTGAACATGAATTCATCATCGATGCTTTCTTTAGACATCGATGGTACAGTGGGAATCACAAACGTGATGGTCCCTCACTACTTCAGGCGTAGAACGCCTACATCCATAACCTCGAGGATGTAGGTCGTGACGCTTGGGAACGACAAACTTATCAAAGCTCGTGATAAGTTTGAAAAGCGAACCCCGACAGGTGCACGCTACAAGCTGCATCGTCTGTCTAGAGAGAAAGGATTACCCTGCCTCTCTTGGGGAGACTCGTGCCCATGTTGTGTGAACAACTCTGCACGAGCACCTAAGGAGGCTTACCTCCTTACCAGCCCGTGGTGGCGCGTACGTCTCTCTACTGAGATGTACGAAGGGATTGACAACCTGAAATCCCTTTACGACCGTGCCGGGAAGACTTTCTCCGGCGGTCCTTCTGCGGCACAGGATGTGCCGCGTCGTACTGCTCAACCAGACCCAGTACGTCGATCATCAGTTGGGAGCGGGGCTCCCAAGAATCCCAGGACGGGGGATAGCCGCGCCACCGGACGAGATAACTCGTCCGACGTCCGTTCACGTCGCGGTGGTTCAACAGCTGCTCAACCAGATAGCGCTGGCCACCGCGAGAGTCCTCTAATGGAGGTGGAGGAGGAGGAAAGACGCTCTCCACACGATCATGTGGATCGGTGTGTACCCGAGAGCTTCTTTGATCGCGTAACACAAGGGTTACGCGACGATCTCGAACATGAGCGGAATAGGCGTCTCCAACTGGCGGACGCTGTCTCGAAGCATCGAGCTGAGTTTGCCTTTGCTCAGCTTTAGAACGAGAGAGCTCTGACATCTCTTCGTGACGAGCTAAGGGTAGCTCGTGGGATTGTTGATCGGTCTCGGGCTGAGATAACTGCTCTTCAGACCCTTGTTGATGCCCACCATCGGGAGCACAAGGCTCTCTGCGAGATGCTTGAGCGCAAGGGCGTTCTTCATCGGAAGATGAAGATGATACTGATGGTACGGCTTAAGCCGACCAACGTAAAACGTGGGATGCGTTCGCATCTTACGTGGTAACTCGATCGTGTATGCATTGCCTAGGCGGTGCAATACACGAAATGGGCCGATGTACTTGGGTAGTAGTTTACTGCTACCCAAGTTAGTCACTACATGCTTTGGTAGATTAACCGTAGACAATAGGACTAAGTCACCTTTATTAAATAAAAGAGTGTTTGCCCTTCCATTCTTGTCAGCGTTTTGCTTTTGCTTATCCACCGCTTCGGCGATGGAGTCTTGCACAAAACGGACTACCGTTTCACGAGCCAGTATGAACTCATCTGATGGCTCGTTGGCTTCAGTGTGCTGTGAGCGCACTGCAGCAACATCAACCTTTTCTTCAGTGAGGTCTTCCGCACTCTCACTGGGATCATCTTCTTCAGTGAGGGCTTCCGCACTCTCACTGGCATCATCTTCTTCGATATTGATGTTATCGATATCGGCATCAAACGCAATGACTTCTTCTTCAGAGCGTGATGAGCGTGAACCAAATCGGTTTTTGCTCGCGCGAGTCCCTCCCCCCCTTAAACCAGAGTTACACTCTAGTAAGGTGGGTACACGCGGATGGCGCAAGCCATTCACGTAAAACGGTGTATGTGTCGTGGACGCATGCACCGAGTTGTTGATGGCAAACTCTACCATTGGCAAAAAATCACTCCAACTCTTAAAGGAGTGTATGTATCCTCGAAGTATCTCTTCAAGGACACGATTGGCACGTTCCGTCTGACCATCTGACTCTGGATGATCAGATGTAGACATCTTCAAGCGCGTTCCGAGTGATTTGAACACGGAACGCCAGAAATCAGCAGTGAATCGTGGATCTCTGTCTGATACGAGTTCACGGGGCAACCCATGAAGTCGGAAGATGCTGTCAATAAAGACACAAGCACAGCCACTTGCCGTGATTGTCTCTGGTACAGCTACAAGGTGTACCATTTTGCTGAATCTGTCAACAAATACGAGAATACCCGTATTCCCGCGTGCGTCTTTGGGTAACCCGAAGACGAAATCCATTGAGATGGATTCCCAGCACTCAGCCGGAACCGGTAGAGGCTGTAAAGGTGCACGCAGTGAAGGACTTGACTTCACTCGTTGACAGACTTCGCATGCGCGAACATACTTTCGCACAAACTGATACTGGCGGGGCCAGTAAAAGTCTCGACTTACCGTGAGATATGTTTTCTTCTCGGCCACGATGTCCTCCTATAGGAGCATCGTGATACTCGAACATGATCCGCAAACGCAGATCAGTATCTTCTGGAATGACAACACGTGGTGTGTCACCAGAAACGGCTGTATAATACAGTAAACCGTTACGAGTAGTGTATCGATCTGATGCAGATCGATACGCAGACGACAATCGTTTCAACGATTCTCGAGATGGTTGGGAGAGATGTGTCAACAACTTCACAATCTCACCATCTTGGGCGTATGCCCGCCTCACATCATCATACAACGTTGTAGATGGGACTGAGGACGTCATAACCGCAACGGTGACTGTCTCACTGTTGGGTTTCGCGACTGTTTCAAAGTCGGGACGACGTGAGAGTGCATCAGCGACGACATTAAGTCGTCCTGGTTTGTACTCGACCGTAAAGTTGTATTCTGCAAAGAATGACAACCACCGCGCCATTCGTTGTGAAAGGTGCGGGCTGTTCACTGCCGTGCGTAATGACGCATGGTCAGTGTAAACAATGAAGGGTCTATCTCCTAATAGATAGACTCTGAACTTCGCGAGTGCATACTTCATGGCAAGGAGTTCCTTGTCATGCACTGGATAGTTCCGCTCAGCTGGTTGCAGCTGACGCGACTGATAGCAGACGACGCGTTCAACGCCTTCAAGATCGTACTGCATTAATGCACAGCCGATTGCGAAATCGCTGGCATCACAGACCACATGAAATGGCCTGTTCTGATCGGCAATTGCTAGGACTGGGGATTGTATCAAGCTCTGCTTGATACCCTCAAAGGAGCGTTGACATTCAGCGTTCCATAACCACCTCTCGTTCTTTTTCAACAAACGAGAGAGGTGTGCAGTCATCTCGGCGTGATTGCGTGAATACTTATGCAAATACGCCGCTAGCCCAAGGAATTTTCGAAGACCTTTGACATCGACCGGCACAGGCCAGTCGGTGATCGCCTTGATCTTTTCGGGATCAGGACGTACACCGTTCTTACCAACGATGCAACCAAGAAGTGGTATTTCGCTTGCTGCAAATATACACTTGTTGAGGTTAGCATGCAATTGATGCCTTCGCATGATTGCAAGAACTTGTCGGACGTGGTACCTGTGAACCTCAACGTCCGACTTTCCATCCATAGCTCGACTATGGATGAATACTTCATCGAAATAACTCGGCGCGAATTCTCGTACTGGTCTCAACAGATGTGATACACATCTGTTGAACGTGGCAGGGGCATTACTGAGCCCTTGTGGCATTACTAGCCATTTCCAGAGCATGCCGCTAGGCGTGCTAACTGCGGTATAGGGTATATCCTGTTCCCGCATAAGGATTTGATAGAAGCCATCCATCAAATCCATGGACGAAAAGATGGTACTCTTTGACATACCATCAATGATTACGTCCTTCCTCGGTATCGGCGTCTGAGCCGGTACCGTTGCAGCGTTCAATTTGTTAAATGCATGCACTATCCGCCACCCTCCTGTTGCTTTTCGCACACAGAAGGTCGGAGAGATATGTGGGGAAGTTGATTCCCTCACATGGCCCGCAGCTAAACGATCGGCAAAGAACTTGTCGATCGCAAGTACTTGTTCACGAGGCAGTGGCCACTGCTTCATGACACAGTACTTCGAGCCTGGTTTAAGCTCAAACTCGTGTCGAATAACTTTATCCTTCGGTAATTCGCACGGAACAGTTTCAGGAAATACATCCTTGAATTCAACCAAATCTTCATAGAGAGGATTTGTCTTGAGCGATTCCCACGATTGGGAGTCATATCGCTCAATTCGTGTCTTTTCATCCAGGGCACTCTCGTCCATAGATGAACTACTGAGAACTCTCTCGTTCTCAGTGAACACTATTGCTGACCTTATGTCGGTTACACACTCGTCGTCAGCGACGAGTACGCAGATCTGCTTGACTTTGCCACTACGCAGATCACGCAAGAACCTTTTATGTTTGAGCGTTGGCAACTGAGTGGCCTCCGAAGTTAACTTCGGAGGCGCAATCAGATCAAGTGTATATGCGCCTACACTTGATCCGTTATTGACTATGACATTCAATGTCTCTGTCATTTCCTGGGGACTTATTCCCTCAGGCTTCGAAGGACTTATTCCTTCGGCTTCCCGGGGACTTATTCCCGCGGGTTTCGGGGAACTTATTTCCGCCGTATTTGTAATCTTGGGACTTATTCCCTTTACTTCCTCTAGCTGGGGTTGCGCAACCACAGCGAGATCCTCTACGACAGACTCTCTGGTCGATCTAGGATTATCGTTTCGCTTAACCTGAGCGATCGATTGTTTCTCTTCTAGATGTTCCCCGCTAGGGATAAATCTTTGTCCCAGTCCACCCGACTTATTCGAGTGGTGGACCTTCGGCGCAGCCTGTGTTTCCTCACAGCCGCCGGAACTTTGATCCGAAGTGTAACCGTTTGGTACACTTAGGTTTCGTACAGTCGTACTAACGACCGTACCACAAGTGAGGTCATCGCACTCACTCGCAGTACATCCACACGCTTGTAGACGCTCCAGAACGTTCATCAGATGGCCATCTGATGAACAAGCGGCAGGCATCGTTACTGTCCGATGTTGCCAGTTTACCCGTGGTTCGTACCTTCTGAGCCACGGTATTCCAAGGATGACATCAAATTTGTCATCCAAATCCAACACGATAAAGTCATCGTCATATTGGGTATCTTCTAGCGTATAGTGGATCTTCACTATACGCTTCATGACGGTTACGGATGCGCCTGTCGCAAGACGTACCGTCATCCTCGTAGGAGGTATGTCGCATTCACTAAAATTAAAGTGACCATCTTCTAGCGATTGGCGTCGCACAAAATCGTTGGACGCCTTACAATCGACTAGAGCTCGAAGGGACAACTGATTTTTCACTTCGAGTTTCAAGTTAATGAGTAAGATCTCATTACCTATAGCAGCAACTCACAACGTTTGTGTGTTGGGAGCAACTTTCATCAAGAGGCCTACAAATTCTCTTGACGTTGCTGGACCAGTAGGGTGCTCCGCACCTACTGATCCTGTCCGTTTGTTGACGGTCCATCCCGTTGTTGCGTCTTTGCACCAACTGCGGACCCTCGTCCCTGCCCCTTTCTCATGGGTGAACGGTCACTACGCCCAGTGTTGCGAGACACTGGACGACGGGCACTACACTCGTAAGCGTAGTGTCCTGTCTTTTGACATCTGTTGCATCTCTGCAACTTCTTGTAGTCTGTAGAGCGAGCCTTCTCGCTCTCTACATAACAGAGTTCCATCGGCTCTGGACCTCCGTTGTCATATCGTCTCGGTGGACGATATGATGTCGAGCTGGCGCGAGCCTGTCTCAGACTGAAGTCTTCCTGTTCCGCAATGGAAATGGCTTGTTCTAGTGAATCCAGTTCAAGTCGGAATAGGTGAGTCTTGAAGGGACCATCCGCAAGACCCTGCATGAACACCGAAACCAACGTGTGTTCATCCACCGGATTGGAACTTATACAACTCGTAAGATGTCGTATATGTTGGGCGTAAGCGTGCACATCACGCTTACCCTGTTTGAGCTTCAAGAGCTCGGTTCGAGCCCTGAACTCAGCTCTAGGTGGTTCAAACGTTTGTCTGAGCCGCGACTTGAAGACTTCCAACGACCCAAACGCATATGGGTCGTGCAACTTGAGCCCCAGTGCCCAAGTCTTGGCACGTCCTGCCAGATTTGACTGGGCAAATGCAACTTGCACATCCCCGTCGTCGATGCGACGCGCCCTTATGGCGTCATCCAATTCGACGAACCATCTCAAGCGGGAGTCCTCTTCGACCCCCCTATACTTTGAGATGTCAATCTTCAAAGTCTCGGGTCGACGCGAGTGCATCGACCCGCCAGCAGCAGCCTGCTGCTGTCTCAACAGTTCAAACTGTTGAGCACCCTGTTATCTCAACAACTCTGCTTGTTGAGAACCTTGTTGGTGAAGCAAGGCTACTTTCTCGCGTTCATCGTCAAGTTCATTTTGAATGAACTTGGCGATAGTAGCATGTTGGGCATCTCTATTGAGAGCCTCTAGCATGACGCTAACAGCATGGATGCCCATGGTTGAACCCATTTGTTCAACCGCATCCCATTCGACATCGCTCAAATGGGAGTAGCTGTCACGCGTAGCGTGAAAGCTTTGGTCATCTTCATCATCCAACATATTCATGTTGGATGTGAACGCGGTCCTTGGACGGACTACGAAGTGCTACCAGGTGTAACGGGGCACCCTGAAGCTTGTACTGGTGACAGTACAAGCTACTTATTCTGATGACAGAATAAGGGGGTGCTTCGGAACTTCACGTACACTCGTACGTGCAGAAGAAGACGGTAAGAAGAAGCGAGTACTTAGTTAGAGTAAAAAGTAGAACTGTATTTAGTATAGTTAATGTCTGCAATAAATCACTATTTATCTTCATCTAACTATGTCTAAATACAAATGTGTAAATCATTTATCTGCTCACCACTCATTGCGTGCGTCTGTCGTGGCGCGTCTTCGTTGGTTGATATAATGACCTATGTCAACCAATTAGGAACTACTCGTAAGTGCTACAGAATATTCGTCCTTATGACAATATTCTGAGAATATAACTCTTATAGTTATATTCTATTAACAATTTCTTATAAATTGTTATGTAACGATTCACCCCGTTACAGTGCCATGATCATCCGACAGCTACGACACCATCGTCCACCGAAAAGCCCCGGTCTCCGCATGCTCCATAGATCTGCGAGGTGCAGTGCGGAATGCCTCGGCGTACTGAGCTGGACGCACCGCTACCGCGATTTTAACAAGATGGCCCATCAAGCCGCCAACATTGCTCTGGACCCCTCTCGTTCAGTCCAGACGTCCGCGGACGACGACCGGCCCATTTTGGCTGATCTAGCAAGATTCTTGGTCAGTGACGTCGGGCACTGGACATCCACGCACCAATAGGTGTGACCCGTCCTTGACACCGTTTTTGACCGGCTCAGTGACGCCTGTACTTGGCGAGTACCCCATTTGGATGGGAATATCCTTAATCCATACCTCACCCCAGTCGCAGTCGGTTGTCCCCTAACATGTGTCCCGTGTAGTGTAGAAAGTAACGAATCCATCCCGGACATTAGTGATCTCTAGAAGATTCTCAATGAACCTCACCTGCGACAACAACAACATGTCATTGGTTTGCGCCATTGCCTCTCAGCATGTCCAAAGTATGCCTTCCACACACATTCTACCATAAACTTGCTCACTAAAGCGCTTTGACTGGAGCGTGCAATGACTCCGGAATGCTCGTACAAAAGACGCTAAGAAACCCTGCAGCAATGACCCCAAGTATGTTCTCCCAGCTCTGAGCACACTCGCATACTTCATTCCTAAAGAAAGCTGTTTTAGCTGATTATGTGCTTCGTTGTGTCCGCTGCGGTAAACGATAGCGATGCAGACTTTGTCATATGTAGTAGCCTAAGAGCGACATCTGTTCAACCTCGTTGAACTGGATGCCAGCATCGTCTTGGCAACATCTACACGACCGTTACCTGTGATGTTCACTTTTGTCGCTTGTCCATGTAAACCACTGATCGCGATCTGATTTCCCTCTGACACCAGGAGTGTCCATATTACCGTGTTGTAAGTCATCCACTGTTCGACGAACAAACCGGGCATAGATACATCGCTACTGGAGAGCATTAAACACAAAAGTGTGGCAAGTTAGAGGTCATCGTGACATAGTTTGACGTACTTGTAAGAGTACGCGAACTCTAAATGAAAACGTTAGATGATAAAGACCGTGCGCGATAGTCACCAAAGTTTGGAGGAACACCCATGAACTATTCGGCTGAATCGTTCATGGGTATTTCCCTAAAACGCAAAGGTTTCGTAGAAAGTGGGTTCAAAGACTAGTCGTCTGCTTTTAGGAATGCAAGTGCTTGCTGTATAGCGCTCTCGTGGATACAGCACATAGTAGACGATCGAACTGTTGGAAGCAATTTTTGCGAAGTCGGGTAGAGATCATATTTGACTAGCGCCATCGTTTGTTCTACATGAAATTCACTGAAGCAACCGATAGTTTGTGGTCCCTTAAGAACATAGCTGCTAAGACGATGTTGACTATGCATCAAAAGTCAGAGCACAAGTAATGACTTCATGGTGACTATTGCCAGAAGAACGAGCACTTGTCTGTTGACAACGAATGGTAGATCTAAAAACGGGACGTAGAAAGCGCTTCACAGGGTGGACGAAGCTAGCTCTCCGCTGGCAGCGAAGGAATACTCGATCGCCATTGACTATGAGCTCGATTAATGCGACTCTGCTATGCCGATACGTACTCAGCATAAGAATTGCTGCATCGGATTTACGGTCAGCTGGTTGTGAGGTCGTGTCATCGAGGTAACTGGGAATGACCAATTCTAGCTGAATCAAGCCACTAGGTATATTTGAAAAATCAGTTTCACGCACTCTCGATTCGATGGAAGTCGAGTTTAGCAGTGTACCTTAGTGTCTCATGCGAAGCTTGCGCATGCGATTCATGTCCTCTGGTACGTCTTCTTGCATAACGGAGTTAAAGTCAAAATCGGGCATGGCATTGCTCTTCTTGGGTTCTTCGTGCGAGACATCTTGTGGCTTAGAATCGGCCTTGTGCTGGTCCTCTCCATTGACAACCTTCTCGCCTTCACTTTCGTGCACAGTGCCAGCACCAGCAGTGTCCGTGCCCATTGCCTTCCAGTAGCTAGCGGCTTCCGCGTTCCCCTGCCAACCCACCTGCTTGCCTGCGCTACCATCCTTCTCGTTTGCCTTCCAGTCGTTATCGGATTTCTTGTCCGCCTGCCAAGCAGTCGAATCCCCTTCACTCTTGTGCGCATTGCCGGAGCCCGCACTGCCATCCTTGCCGTTTCCCTTCCAGCCATGATCGTCTTTCGTGTCTTCATTCCAGCCAGTCTTTTCCGTTGAGACTGGCACGTCAATAGTTTTCGGTGTCTCGTCAGCTGGATGGTCTTCTTGCGTCACGCTGTTCTCGGCATCTTCCCCACCCGCAAACTCGTCGAAGCCAGGCACGGGGGCGGTGTCACTTCTTTTTGAGGCACTCGACTTTGGTTTTTCTTCATGCGAAATATCCTGTGAGTGATCAGTGGACTCCTGGTGTTCCTCTCCATGGACAGGCTTCTTGTTGTCTCCTGGGTATGGAACAACAGTTCCGACAGAGGCGTCGATGTCTTTGGAAGTGTCTTTGCTCGAACCAGCAGAATCATCTTTACTCTTGTGCATGTTGCCGGAACCAGCGCTACCATCCTTGCCACTTGCCTTCCCGCCAGACTTGTCCGTTGAGACTGGCACGTCGGTAGTTTTCGGTGTCTTGTCAGCTGGGTGGTCTTCTTGCGTCACGCTGTTCTCGGCATCTTCTCCACCCGCAGACGCATCTGGGCCAGATATCGCGACGCCGCTCTTTTTCGAGGCACCCGATGGTGCGACAGCATCTTTCAATTCGCCAATGCCAAAGTTGCCGCTAGCCTCTGCAAATTGTGTAGCAAGGCCTGCCTTGTAACTAGCGATGTACTTCTTGAGACTGGTGAACTGGGAGCTCACCGCATCTCCTGTACATCCCTTCAGAGGTGCGCTGCTTTTAAAAACGTTCACCGAGCAGGCGCGGCCGATGACCGCCTTGCAGTCGTTAGCTGCAGTTGGCGCAAACATACTGCCGGATTTTCCCTGGTTTGTTGACGCTACCGAAGCAAAGTAGTTGCCTTCTGCCAGAACGTATCCTCCCTTGTCCACATCAAATGCGTGGCCAGAAATCTCGCTGAAGAAGTTGTTGGCAGCGTGAACAACTACCGTATCGTCGCCGTGACCTCCAACCCTGGGCGACCGACCTGAGGTGTGGTCGATGTAGTTGCCAAGCAGACTCACCTCAGTCCTTTTGCCATATAACAAGATGCTCCAGTAGTGGTGACTGTCACACGAAGCTGAGAACTTTGTGTTGCCATCGAAGTCTGTGTTACTGACCGTGATTCCTGTCGCACCGGAATAGTTGACCACCAGCATTTGCCGGCCGATATTGGAAATCTTGACATGGTCGATCCAAATACCCTTCGGTGCGTCGTTTTGACCAATGCTGATGGCATCACCACCCCACACCAGATGAGGATTCAAGTTTGTGATGTGGATGTTTTGCACAATCACGTTGCTACCGGAAATAAGAATACCTTTGCCATTCAGCACTCCTTTCGTGCCCTCACCGACCAGCGTCTTGTCGCTCGCTACAGTCAGCGCCGTCCTGGCGGCTTTATCGTAAGTCACTTGAACCATCTCGTCTCCGATGCTGCATCCGCCATTCTGGTCCGAGGACGTTGAGACTAACACTTTAATCGCGTCTTGTCCTTTGAAATCGTTCTTTTTGGCGAGGCATTTCTGTTGACTCTCCGGACGACAGCCGCTTTCTGTAGTAGACCCCTCGGTTTTAATGAACGTGAACTCCTTGTTGAGTACGATCACCCGCGGCTCGGCGTCGCTTAGGTAAGTTTCCAATTCCTTGTTCGTTTTCGGGTACACGGGTTTCGCGTCACCACCTCCTGTAGTTCCTGTGGCGAAGCCGTAGGCTGCACCCGACACGAGTGATCCAGCAGAAGCCAAGTCATAGTGAACTTCCCATAGTGCGAGCGCAAGCAGTGTGCCCAGCAGCCCACGAGCCATCTATTCGCGTTCAAGTCTTCTTTCGTATGTATTCCAGGGACGAGCTAGCTACGCGTGACAGTCCAAGCAAAATTTAGAATGCGATCCACCTGCAACTCCGACCCGTTGCAGGGGTTGTGCAAACGTGAACATGTACAGGTCTCAGCTAGCGAACATCAACAAGATTGGATATTACGGCGTATTGGCGATACCACAACGGCGACTGCCAGCCACAAAAGCTTGGTGCAGAAACACCGACACCTATTGTGACAGCTCAAATGGACGCTGAAGTTGGTCGGTCCAACCGTACGCGCAAATCTACTGGGTCGAGGTCGTGTCTCCATGTGACGAGATACACTTTGCGCGCTCTATGGCCTGGAAGAAGTGTGGCGTTTGATGCCCCCTCGTGATGCTTCCTTTAGTTTGCAAATCGTGCCCTGGCATTACAAATGTTTCATACGCCGGTGGCCTGGAATTTTTGCGAGCACAAGCCGTCGTGACGCACGTTTTTGTCAGCTTAGTGCGACTACGACAGCTCACGATCGATCAATAATGTCACTTTCCTTGCTCACATAAAATGATCTCCGCAAGTCAGTGCTTCGAACATTGTACGTGCTTGATTCCGCCCACTCCTAATGCAAAGGTGACCAACAAAAGATGCACTTCGGCGACAGACAACGTGACAGTTGACGAGACCCTGCGGGCGTATAAAGGTTACCCAGGCGTGCGCAACGCCATTGTGCCATAGTCATAAACGGGCTGTTCAATTACTACGGCCTTTCGACCTCGCAGTCACTCCCACACGGACTGAATCTTTTGATTCCACGTGCTTTCAACCCCTCGGTGTCTCTTTTCTCCAAAAGCGGCTGGTTCTGTTCAGCACAGCCTGTCGCTGCTGAATATCTTATGTAAAGCTGTGCCGTCGCAGTAACGACGACCCTCACGTTCACGAGACCCTAACCGTCTCCACACGTACTTGTCACCATAGGCTTCCTGCATTGCTCATTCCCTGAATGGTGTTGTTGAATGCCACGCCACATTTGGTCAAGCGCTGCTGTGCTTAAGCTTTCGGATATTCGCTCTTGTTCTTTGAACGGACAGACGGCGGCGTTGCAGCCACTAGCCTCCCGGATGGCTTGTATCTTGCTCCTCTCACGTCGCCAGCGCTAGACAAACTGCTTTTCCCGCAATTTGACGCCGGTATATTGAGGAAAGGTAATTGACGGCGTCGTCCAAGTAAATGTAAGCGCCGAAGTGAGCCGTAATCGACAGCTTACGCACGTAGTTCATGTTCTCACGGTCGTGTGGTCGCAATTGTGGTATCGCGTGTCTGTATAAACGCACTGTTTGAAGCCGGTCACCTACGTTTAACGATAAACACCGTCAGTCAACATGTGACACAATGGCTTCGTGAAGCTTGCACCTTTGAAGCTGGCTCCACAAACCGTGCTTAGTGGAATAGGAGTGGAAGCAATGTTACACCGAAAGCAGCGAATGATTGTAGTGGTAAATACAACTATGCCTTCATTCTTTTATACTAGTTGTGGTTAAAGGAGGAAAGTGCGCTCAGGGTGTTCAGCGCCATGAGCCATCGTGTTGTCGTGGCGGTGGTGGCATGCTAAGCCGTGGCCATGCCAGTACTATGCTCTTTTTCAATGTTCCGGTAAAATCAAAGCTGTTTGGCCTCTGGTTGGTACTTCCTAGTAGCAGCAGCCAGATGAATGACATAACTTGCGGTGACTTTAGGCATGTTTGTTTCTGGGACGGTAACACAAGCGCTTTCTACAATAAAAAGTGCACTCCGTCGTTAGTTGTCCATGAGCTCGAGTACAGATAGAAAAGTGATGGTCAATCGGCGGAACGCAACGAAAGATACTGTGCGGCCCTCAATCAGACACCGAGAGAGTTGTGGCGCCACCGCAACGCGATCACCGAGTATCAAGTGCGGGTTTACTACCGAATGGCGCTGCATCAGCTTAATTTATATAGTTCAGGTCGGGAGCTAAATAACTGCTGTCGAAAACTTTCGGTCTGTCACGGGCAGAGAGAGACTCTGGATCACATCTTTTGGGGTTGTCCAGTAGCCCAGGGTTGCTGGCAGGCACTCATTACCTACTGGACCGGATGCTCGGGGATGCCGATCAGCGTGCAGCATTATGCGAGTTTTTGCTTGTCACGAAAGTCCCCGCCATTACATCCGATCATTTCTCGGCGGCTGCTGAGCGCGTTTGGACATTCGATGGAGGCATATGTATGTCAATGGAAGCGGAGGTGGTGGGTGTTCTGTTCTATATGTATCACGACGTTATGGGTGCAACGCAATCGGGTCGTTCACGAAGGGCATTCCGTCACTTTGGCGGGATGTATCCACGAATGCACAGTTTTAAGTTTTCGGCAATTACACGCGCTAGCGCTGCGAGAGCGTAGACAGCTACACACCCAGGTGGCCGGGACTCGTCTGATGCAATGCATTGGACTGCTCACCATGGCCCCATCTAGAGCACCGCACACAGCGGTGAGTCACGTACAACCACCGGATCATCCGACACCAGCGTTGCTATCCTGGCTTAGGTCTTTCCAGACGTCTTGTACACCATAATATCGTATAATAGACGGTCTGTGTTCTTCTCTCTCTCAGATAGAAAAGTGATGGCCGTTGCGAAGCGAAATGCACCGAATGTCGCAGACCATATCTCCGAGTCATTACATAATATACCGCAACCGTTTATCATCTTGTCGCAAATTAAAAAATAACACATGCGTTCCAAATGCCTCTATCATAATGACCAAGGTGGTAACCTCAACGTTTGTTCAGCACGTTGAAGATGCAAGATCGTAATCAAATCTTGGTAATGATGCCGACGAAAAAGATATCGTTGCGCTTTTTACTAACACCTTGAGCATCAGTATCTTCTCGCGGCCATTTATCAAGTCCCCTGGTGCAAGGCATACCATTGAACTTCCAGATCCGTCAGCTTCCCGACTGGGATCGCGACGTATTGGTCGTCGGTGGTGACCCCATGAACCTTAGAACTGTACGGATGGCGACGCCATGCAATTTGCATTCGGATTTCATTCAGCAAGCAGAGGGTTCCGTCGGAAAGCCCTAGCCGTATGATAGCTGTAATCATAAACCCATACCGACAAAGCTCTTCTGCCCGCCTGATCTCCCACCTACGCATTGAATTAATATACTAGCGCCCTGCTAGCATGAATTTGATCTTGGCACGTCTGTAGTGAAATATAGATTACACCCAACCATACGAGCAAAGGTGACGTCGAGATGATAGTAATGTCAGCACCAGAATAAAACAGTAAAGTGGCCTTCTCATTGTTCATTTTGCCTACTGCCTTCGACTGTCTGAACACTTCACTGTAGCGTGGTGCTTCTAGTAGTCACGTGATTCACCGGCGCTATATCTTTTTCCATCGTCGATTACGATCACGAATATTCATCGATCCTCTTGGTACTGGACATCGCAGATAGGGTGGGTAAATGTAGATGGCATATACTGGCTACAACATCTCCCTCTTCCTGTACCTTGCCATCCATCTCCTTTTCAAGAATGCAAAGATACAAAAGCCTGGAACGCTAGGCTCGTACCAGATTCCAACTTGGTGGGCATCTTAGTTCGACATCTTTTCAGTCTGGTCAGGGAGCTCTCCTGTGTGCGTATTCGGCACGATTCGTTGGCGAATCACGTCAATCGTGTCGTAGAACGAATCATCTTGTAGGGCGAATCATGTCGTATAGTCAACAACCTGTTCACGGCACAATTGTGGATCAATTCGGAGATTTTATTTGGTAACTTGAATGACACGAACCAGATGTATCAGAAAGCACCAAATTAATAGCCATTCTAGCTGCGGTTTTAATGCACATCGTTGCAGCTTCGTAAAAATTGTGTACAATGTCATAGGAGTTGGTGAAATATAGTCGAATTCGGGCCCATTTTACTGAATATCGGCTTAGTGCACGACTACTAATCGGACGCTTCTGCAAGCATTACTTCAATAAACATCCCGTCTGTAGTGCCGATCACTGTTGTACACTTCTTCTGCTTTCGTATATGCTTTGGAGGAAGAGTGAGAATCGCATTCTGGACTGTGGTGACCAGATTCGGGTGAAGAACAAGCTAGGATGTATTGCCAAAGTCACCTTTCACTCTCCCAGCTTGATACTCACCGAGGCGCTTGTTTAGTTGACACAGAGAGAAAGGGTGTAGTCCAGTACCCCGAAAGCCTTCGATTGCTTTGCTCGAGTTCTCAATGATGGCGATACGGTATACATAACACGCAATATCGATGGTTGTCTGTTTGTACAGTGCTAGGTCCGCTGTTTCATTCATTTGAAGCTGTAGACCCTCGCGGCAGATTTTTTTGTAAAATGCTACTGCTGGCGTCTGGAAGATGTGCGTTGCGTTTGCTGGCGAGGCTATCATAAGGATGACATGTTCACAGCAGAAGTTCACGTACTTTGAAAAAAATAGCGCGAGAATTGTGATTATGAGGAAAACAAAATGATAAAACGTTGGCAGAACTTGCTCTATTTTTTTTTCATTTCACATGCGTGGAAGAGTTATTCGAAGTCAAAATGACTGGGTTTTGAATCCCTTTGGCTTTCAGGACGGTAGCAAATGTTTCCAACTAGTCCTTTAGAAATATGGAACTGTAGAACCCCTTCAGCGCACCAGAAACACGCGCGCCGTCAATGGATAGCGCTGTGAGCTCTGTCTTGAGCAGGCAAACGTCGGGGAGGATGAAAAGACAAGGGGCAGCAAACAAGACGTACTACCAGCCGCCACCACAGGTATGCGGAAGTTGGGCTTGGTCCCCTGCATTCACACGTTTCTAGAGCCTCGATTGCAATGACGTTGCGAGTCGTGGACATAGGGCCGAACGAATTCCCGTCCATGATAACAACATAAAACAAGTCCTCATATTCTCAATTCAAAGCTTGGCCATCGCATTTAAAACCCCGACAGCCTACAACTTTTTCACCGCTATTCGCACTCTCCATA